GATAGATAGATAGATAGATAGATAGATAGATAGATAGATAGATAGATGATAGATAGATGGATGGATGGAGGGATGGAGGGAGGGAGGGAGGGAGGGAGGGATTGAGAGGAAGAGAGAGAGAGAGAGAGAGGAAGATAGATAGATAGATAGATAGATAGATAGATAGATAGATAGATAGATGAATAGAGGGAGAGATAGATAGATAGATAGATAGATAGATAGATAGATAGATAGATAGATAGATAGATAGATAGATAGATAGATAGATGAATTAGGATAGACGGACAGATAGTAGAGGTGTGTGTGTGTATTAGTGTGTCTGTGTTTTGTGTGTATGTGTGAAAGGGGGGGAGGGGGGAAAGGATTTTTTCTGAACCTGTTTGGGATCTTCTAAAGAATCTCGACCAAAGCAATAAAAAAAAAACTCTAGAAAGAAGTGGATAAAATCCAGGAGAAGCCCTGTTGTTTATTTTCCCTTTCCACCTTCCATTCTTCCAAACACTCCACCACTATTCCTAGGCTCGATTAGGAGGGATTTTCTGGGCGCCTAATTTGCAGGATTTTTTTATTTTTTTTTGCTTCATTTGATAGCTACAGCCTCTCAACCTCCATCGTCAATATTTGGGACCAATATTTAGTTCAAAACCCTGCGGGCTTCTCTGCTATTCTCCAGTTCAGAGAAATATTTTGGTTTTTCAAAGGCCTGGGTCAGCCGTCAAGGTTTCTTTGACCTGCAGCTCTCAGATGGACTCACAATATTATTTGACACATGTTGCTTCTTGTAATCTTTTTGTTAATGTCTGAACCAGACATGTGCCATTCCTTCCCCTTTTATTTCTTTTCATCTCTTCTGCAAGGTGTAAACCACGAACTAATTAATTATTTGTAGCCTGCCTTTATTATTTTTACAAATAAGGTGGCGGACATATCCACCACACCTTCCTCCTACTTTTCCCCCAACAACAACCCTGTGTGTGTGTATATATATATTAAAAGCTGTGGTTCGGGGGATCTATAAGAACCGGACTGGCAAAATATGAACACCGCTAACCAGTTTTGCGTGCTAGTTAAGTCTGAAACCTGACTTGGTGGGCAATTAATGCCAGGGGGACAGAACACCGTTTAGAGATCCATCTGTGGGTCTCTAAATCCAGCCTAAGATAAATGCACAGAAACTGGTTTTATTTTTATTGTCCTGGTCAGGGATAAAACAAGCCACTTTCGCCTCACTTTAAAAGAAATGACCCCTTTAAAAAAAAGAGAGAGAGACAGGAAGGATCACACCCTGAGGCTGAAAAACAACATCTTTGCGATTCTTCATCTCAGATTTTGTGCTAAGTTACCCTTTTGATTAGCAACTCACCGATTTCAAAGAGTCTAGACTGGGTTTTTTGATCCCGCTTTAAAGCCTCCTTATAGTTCCTGAGCTAAGGATCCACAAAGCATATTGTGTGAATCCGGAGTACAGATTCCTGTATTCCTGCCTCTGACACGCTGCATGCATCCCCCCCTCCCTTCTCCACGCAGACCTACAGACGCGTGAGTTTGCCCTGGAAACAGGTACGGCTCGTGGCAAGCTCGCTAATTGACAGGAAGCTGTCATTAAAAGAGTAAGAGGCTCTGATAGTTTGATCCCCAGACTTGAGCTAGGCGTAGCTTTGGGGTTGTTTCCCTCATCGGAAGAGAGAAAAAAAATATTTATGTTTGCACCCCGGTTTAGATACCTACTTCCGGTGGTGAATTTACTCCTCGGAAACGAAGGAGAAAGCCCTCTGATATAAAAAGACTCTGGATATCTATTCCCAGGGCAAGGTTACTTAGAGATAACGTGGTACTCCAGAGTTAACTAAAGGTTTACTCAGAGAATCCCGCTTTCTTAAGCAGCAACAGCGGGACTTGCCCAGTGGATTTCTCCTGGTTACCAAACTGGCCTGAGCTGATTTTTTTCTAGGCTGACCCAACACACTGACCCGTAAATTAAGCCGTAGCAATAGTACACCACGCTCAACCAAGATTTAAAGTTAGCTGCTTGTGTGAATGCAGCTGCAGCTGGATCTGGTGTGTGGGGGGGCATAGATCTGTCAACAAAAACAGTGGGGGATCAATGGGGCAGCGAGGGAGGGGAAAGGTCGCTTCCCCAACCATTTCATAAGCCCAGCTTTTCTGGATGCCTGAAGTGTGAGGACGCAGAGACGCAACCTGGGTCCATCCGAAAACAAGCCAACTTTGGCCCCTAGCGGATGTCGTGTCTTCGAGACCACACAACCGTGGTGGAACAGGAAGAAGGAGAAGGAGAAGAAACAGAAGAAGGAGAAGGAGAAGGAACAGAAGAAGGAGAAGGAGAAGGAGAAGAAACAAACAGAAACAGAAACAGAAACAGAAGAAGAAAGAAGAAGAAACAGAAGAAGAAACAGAAGAAGAAACAGAAGAAGAAACAGAAGAAGAAACAGAAGAAGAAAGAAGAAGAAACAGAAGAAACAAGAAGAAGAAAGAAGAAGAAAGAAGAAGAAGAAGAAAAAGAAGAAAGAAGAAAGAAGAAAGAAGAAAGAAGAAGAAGAAGAAGAAGAAGAAGAAGAAGAAGAAGAAGAAGAAGAAGAAGAAGAAGAAGAAGAAGAAGAAGAAGAAGAAGAAAGACAGACAGACAGATTCGGGGTACCACGCCTTGATCGTAAATGTCCCCGACAACGTGCTTTTGGAAGGCGGTTGGATTTCAGCTCCCAGTCGAAGGGACGGCAGCCGAGGACACCCTGAGGGCGCCGGGCTTTGAAGACCGGCGTGGCTGGCTGGACAGCTGGCGCTGGCGCCGTTCGGTCAGGTTTCCTGAGCTTCCGTCCCGTAGCGCGTTGGCTTGGAGGTCAGGAGCCCCCGAAAAGCCGGCCTAATCGGAGAGCCCCCCCTCCTTAGTTCAACCGCAAGGCGGGGGGGTCGTTTCCAGAAGCGAACGGCAGCCTTAGGAGCGCGGGGGGAGGGGGAGGGAGCGTCTTTAACCAGAGGTAGGTTAGGTTCCTTATTTGACTTCGGCGAAAGAGCAGGCAGATTGAAGGAAAAGGGGGTTAAGGAGGGGGAGTTTGTCCCCCATTCAACCCCCTTCGCCCGAATCTCGGCGGGGGAGGGTGGTCCCTAGAGGGGGGGGAGGCAGAGAGCAGAGGAGCCCCGGAATTTAGACCCGTGCAAGCACCCCGGCCGTGATTTTTCCCCCCCCTTCTCGCCGCCTTACCTTCCATGTCTCGGGTGACAGCGCTGAAATGCATCCTTCTGCGGGCGGCGGCGACGGCGGGGGGGTGGTAAGCTTTGCGAAGGCTCCCTCCCGCGAAGGCGGTGCCGGGCTGACAGTCCAGAGCAGGTTCTTCCTCCTCCTCTTCCTCCTCCCCCTCCTCCTCCTCTTCCTCCTCTTCCTCCTCCTCGCTGGCGGGTTCGGCGGCTGCAATCAGAGAAGCGATGCTGAACGCGTTGGCCTTGGGGGACAAGGGGCTCGCCTCGTCCATGGGACGGGGGGGTGGGGGGCGGCAGCGGGGAAGCCCACCCGACGGCGCTCTCCGAGCCCAGTTCAGAGCTCCATGGGCGGCTGGCGTGGACGCGGCCGCAACGAGTGGCGAGGGAAGGCAAGCAAGCAACGGAAGCTTCCAACGCGGCTCTCCCCTCTCCCTTCACACCCTCCCCCGCCGCCGCCGCCGCCGCCGCACGGGGCCCGTCCCTCCCCGCCCCTCCCCAGCCCTTGTCCTCTCCCTCCAACCAGCTGGCGGAGAGCGGCCGCCGAGCGCGCCTTCGCCCTGCCCCGCCGCCGCCTCCTCCTCCTCCTCGCCTGCACCTCCCGCGCTGGCGGCAGGCAAAGGCAGCGATCCGGAGCCGTTTGCGCCGAGTTCAGGCCCGGTTGGATGCGCAAGCGAGGCGCGCTCCTTTCTCTTCCCGTAACTCTTGCCCCCAAACGGGACAAAAGTTACACCGATAACGAAGAAATAGTGGAGTAGAATCATTAAAGGATGGAACGAAATGAAATGTGGATGACAACAATTATTTTTTTAAAAACTATTTTAAATCGTGAAATTGAATTTTGGAATTGTCCTGAAGTGAGTTGTCCTGTGGTGGCTTGTCCCATTCCGTCCGGGGAGGCGAGGACGGGCAGAAGTTAAAACTGGTGCACCCCCGCTCTCTTTCCAAAACTTTGCATAGTTTTATTCCTCTGGGTCCCTAGTTCGACCTCTAGCACCCCGGTTCCCTCTTCTATCCCACCCACCCACCATCCTTCTTGACGTCGCCGGCTTCCTTACAGGGCATGGAAAGGGCCCCCCTTCCCACGCACTGTCCCCTCCATGCAAGGTCACGGAGGGTGTGCGCGTGTAATGCGCGTTTAAGACAATCTACCTGGGCCCGCTGGTTCCGTTCTATTCCGTAATAGAATGGAAAGATTTTAACAAAGATTTTAACAAAAGGTAACCGAGTTTTAAGGGAGGGAAGACAAGACAACAACAACAACAACAACAAAAGGCTCAGAGAGGACAGAGAAAATAAAAACTCGGCGCTTCGCACCCCTACTAAGGGACTGGCCTTGACTGGGGCACCTTAAAATACTTCCCGTCCCTGGAAGATATCCAGACCAAAAGCGAGGCAAGGGGTTCCGGATTCCAAGGATGCATTGCTTTCTCAGGTAAGCTCCTAGCCCCTAAGGAGAGAGGACTGGGGGGCTAAAACATACGGAGACTATGGATAGGCATTGAATGGCTGAAATTATCCCTTTTTGGATATGTAATGCAAATATCTTGGACTATTGCATCCATTTTTGGTTGCCACGATATTAAAAAAAAAGACGTTGAGACTCTAGAAAGAGTGCAGAGAAGAGCAACAAAGAGGATGAGGGGACTGGAGGCTAAAACATATGAAGGACGGTTGCTGGAATTGGGTATGTCTCGTTTGATGAAAAGAAGGACTAGGGGAGACATGATAGCAGTCTTCCAATATCTGAGGGGCTGCCCCAAAGAAGAGGGAGTCAAGCTATTCTCCAAAGCACCTGAAGGCAGGAGAAGAAGCAATGGATGGAAACTAAACAAGGAGAGAAGCAACCGATAAATTTCCTGACAGTGAGGAGATAATTAATCCGGGGAACGGCTTGGCACCAGAAGTTAGAAAATAGAAGGTTATTAGTATTAGCAGGTTTTGATCTCCAACTTGGCTGGCACGCCTTCATGTGGGATGGAAAATCTAAACAACATTCATATTTCCAAAGGCACCATGTAAGAAATGTGTTGTTCAATATCTGGGGAAAGATTTTAAAAAAAAACCACTACCCAAAGGTTCCATTGTGGCTATCTACATTGGAAGCAGTCACACATCCAAATGTATTGGATTATGAAAATAATTGTCAGGTATAAAGATTTATTATATGATACTGGAGAGCTTAAAAATAGGGACCAAATACAAATTCAAGGAAAGGAGATAGCATGGTGGCCCTTTGCACAAATACAAACCCATTATATATATATAAAAAAAGAAACTTAATCAAGGAGAGAAGCAACCGATAAATTTCCTGACAGTGAGGAGATAATTAATCTGAGGAACGGCTTGCCACCAGAAGTTGTGGGTGCTCCATCCATGGAAGTTTTTAAGAAGAGATTGGACAACCACTTGTCTGGGATGGTATGGGGTCTCCTGTTTGAGCAGGGGGGTGGACTAGAAGACCTCCAAGGTCCCTTCCAACTCTCTGGCATTCAGTCTCTTATTCCCAAGGCTGGTGCCCTCCAAATGTCATAGCACCCACTGGCATAATCTCTAAGCATTGGTCTTGCTGGCTGGGCCTTAGGAGAGCCAGAGTGCCAGGCACCTGAATGTGTCAGGTAATAGACCATAAACATAGACTGAAAGTGAGAGAGAACAGTCTTTGTGGGTGAAGGTAATATCAACTAAGGTAGTAAACTAATTTGGGGCTCGCTCTAATGTTTCCCTCTCATTAATGTTTTCCTTAGAGGTCAGTTTTGCTAAGAAAGTTCCTAGCTCAAGAAAAGATAATGAATCTACATAACCGTCTTTTACCTTTCCTATCAGTTGAGCAGATTGTGGGATGAATCGTTATTGCAATTAATTTGCTCATCAGGTTTAATTCTCCCTTCTCAATAAAGTCATCCTCCAACTAATTATCCCTGGCATAAAACAAGGAGTGAGAACAGAGCGACCCCTTAAGATTATTAGCTTAGGTTTTGCATCATCTCAACCCCCCCCAAAATACTCTTAATTCCTAAAGCCAAAATGGGGGGGGGGTTTAAGGGGGGATTGAAATCATAGACATGTGTTGCATGGTTAGATACCATCCCCCCTTTACTAAAGTAACAGAAAAAGAAAGCTTTTATGTCATCCTAGCTTCTGTGAAGTGAGACGAGACTGCTTATCTGCTTAATTAAATTCGGATCAGACGCTAAATCTTCCAAACCTCTTTCTACAACTGACGGTATGAATTGAAGATCAGGAACAAGGGCTACGGATTTGGATTGGTATAATTTGGATTAATGCAATTTATTTATTTTTTCCTGCCTAGTCAAGCACAGGCATAAGATGCAGTACAAAAAGGCAGGGAAGTACTTAAAAGAGTTTTAATACTGTATGTTGGAAACAGAAAAGAGAGAGAGAGAAAAAAACTGAATTATTATGGTCTCAGACTGGCACAATTAGAACAGCAATGAAAATCCTTCTAATCCATATGTATTTGTATATTTGTTAAACAAATTTATGTAACTGCTCAACTCACACATTAAACAAATCCAGCTGAAAACACACAATTTAAAGCCCAATCTCCACCACAAATACCAATAAGATCAATGTTAATATTAAGCATAGATAAGGAAGAGTTCTTAGAATGGAAGATCAGGGCTGTGTTAGATTCAAAAAAAAGAACCACCCAAAAACAACAACAACAGAAGACTAGGTCTAAGAATATTGACATTTTGTCAACCAATGGATCAATATTTTTTATTACAGCCACAGACCAGTTTCAACCAATAGAGCTTACAAGCTTATACCTAAATACAAAATAATGCAATGCAATTCAAGCAAAGAGACCATATCCTTTACTCAGAGGGATATCAAACCATTCATGTATGGCTAAAAGGAGGGAAACCCCACAATTTTCCAATAATTGAATCAAATTCTTCATTGGCCAAGTGTGATTGGACACCCAAGGAATTTGTCTCTGGTGCATAAGCTCTCATGTACATACAAGCAACAAGTGATAAATCATGATCATAAAATACTATCCTCATAAATCGTAAGATACAATGCTTGGTGCTAGTCATAGGATACTAAATAAGTGATCAACATAAATCATACGAGGATACTAAATAAAGCAATATAAATTGTAAGAGACAAGCAGCATAGTTATAAGAAGATAAGAAGATAAAAAGATAGATAATAGAAAAGATGGGGAGAAGAAGAGTAATGCAGCCTTACTAGATAGTTTCAGTGTTGTGGGAATGAGTTGTTTAGCAGAGTGGTAGCATGGGGGGAAAAAACTGTCCTTGTGTCTAGTTGTTCTGGTGTGCAGTGCCCTATCCTATAGCATCATTTTGAGGGTAGGAGTTGAAACAGTTTATGTCCAGGATGTGAGGGGTCTGTATATAATGGAATAGCAATAGGAATAGAATTGGAGTAGAGAGGAGAGGAGGAAGGGACCCTGGAGGTCTTCTAGTCAAGCCTCCTGCTCAAGCAGGAGAACTATATTATTTCAGATAAGTGACTGTCTAGTAACTAGTTACTCTTCTTAAAAACCTCCAGTGATGGAGTGCCCACGATTTCTGAAGGCAAGCAGTTCCACTGATATTTTCACAGCCCTCTTTCTGGTTCCTGCAGTATGCAGGCCCTCAATGGAAGGCAGGCTGGTTGCAATTGTGGGTTGTTGTTGTTTGTTTCACTTTAAGCAGGTCTCCTGGAACTAAAGGACTACACACCCTCCTGGCACCCAATCTAGAAAATGCACCTCTCTTGCAAAACTGCGGAGTGGGAGTGAGGAACGGAAGGGAGGGGAAGGGAAGGGAGGGGAGAGTATTGATTTTGGCATATAAAAGGGAAGGGCCCTCTTTTCGGAATCTGGCTCCCTGACTGACATCTTCCCAGGACCATGGAAATAAATCTCAAGGACCTAGTTCAGGTATTGGGCAGTTCCACCACCTTCTATGATCTGTCTTTCACTTGCTAGATCATTGACCCCAATGGAAGTTGAATGAACATTCTGAATTTGTGTCCAGATTTCTTGGTCTACCCCGTTTATCTAACCCAGAAGCTCAAGGATAATGGAAGTCATAGTTGAAAACATCTGGAAGGGACCGAGTGGCAGAAGATGGCTGTA